CGAAAAATTGGAGGGAGTCAAGGGCCGCCGATGCGCAATCGCCGGCCCGGAGAGGCTGCTGTGGCAGAGATGCGCCGACTGCAACGCAGCACAGAAGAAAAAAGAGGTCACAACAGAGCCTGTGCGGTTCGGGATGCTTGCCATTCGAGCACTTCTGGAGGCAGCTGAAGCCTATGTCATGCATCTTATGGAGAGCACGAACGAGGTTGCAATCCATTCGACGCGGGTCACGATCATGCCCCGGGACATGAGGCTCGTTGGCACATTACAAAATCCGCGTTGGCAAGTTTTCACCGAAGGCATCCTCGACGAGAAAAAGTTGAACAGACAACGACAGGAGAGGAGGAGGGCGAACGCTGATGAGACGAACACACAACAAGCAGCGCCCGGGTCTGCTGAACAGCAGGGGAGAGGGGAGGCAAGGGGGGCGTCAAAGAGAAAAGGAAAGCCGGTGAAAAGCAGGACGCCTCAGAAAAAAAAGAAATGAGTCTGGTTGGACGAGAACGGGTCTGTGTGTTTGCACAGATGTGTGTGTGTGTGTGTGTGTGTGTGTGTGCGTGCGATCATGTGTTCGGGTCATAGGTCCTCAATTTTTGTAATGCCGTCATTAACAATGACATCTGTACATTCATTTTCTCTAATCATGTCTTTGGTTGACCACGAACTAAGACGGAAATTTGCAGACCCTTGTCTGCTGCTTCTTTTGTGTGTCTCTGTCATTTTTCCTTTTATTGTTGCAATTCATATTAAGAGGGTGGGTCGGTGTGTGAGGATGCTGTGTGGTAATGACATTCTATTTTCCTTTCTTATGTTTGTCCCATTGTGCGTGTCTCAATGGTCGTGTGGACAACCGTGACGTATGGATGGTCACATTTGTTTCTCGACAGAAGAACCGGTGAGTTTTCATGCAAGTTAACACTTCCACATACAGTGACTGAAAAATATCTTGATGCATCATAAGTCATGATCACATGTGCACAGACGTGTAAACGCAAGAGAAACATGGTACTACTGAATCGTTTGCTAAATGGCTTCCACTACCCAATCGTGTGGTTGCCAAGTGCAGTCCATTTCAACAAGGACGGTCTCGCCATTGTTCGGTAAACGGCGCCCACTATCCAACCGTGTTAAAAGGTTGGCCAAACTTTAGGGATAATTCATCTAAAGTGTCATGCCTTGGCCCTGCTCACTCCGTGATGAGTGTGTTTGACTGTGTGTGGGTGTGAGCAAGTGTGTGTGACTATGTGTGAGTGTAGGTGCGTCTGTGTGAGTGTGTTTGAATCCGTGTCAGTCTGGGTGAGTCCGTTTGAGCTTCATTCAATCCGTGTCATTCTTTTTTATTCTCTGATGAATTGGGCGTCAGTCTGTTCGACTCTGTTTGATAGTGCTTCAATGTGTTTGAGTCTGCGTCACTCTGTGTGAGTGTGTGCGAATCAGGGTCAGACTGTGTGAGTCTGTGTGAGTGTGTGTGAGCCTGGATGAGTCTGTGTGAGCCTGGATGAGTCTGTGTGAGTCTGTGTGAGTCTGTGTCAGTCTGGGTGATTCTGGGTGACTGTGTGTGAGTCTGGATGAGTCTATGTGAGTCTGGGTGAGTCTGTGTCTGTCTGGTCGAGTCTGTGTCTGTCTGCGACGTTGAGGTTGGGAGGTGGGGGCCAAATGTGAAGACGTTGTTGCCGTTAACCGGCATAAGTGACACCCACTTCCCAACCTTGTCGAAGTGAGGGTAATTTTTTATTTTATTTTTTTGGCAGAATTTTGTTGACATTGTGTGTGCGTGTGTGTGTGTGTGTGTGTGTGTGTGTG